ACAAGTAATTAAATACTAAAAATAAAATAATCACACAATTTGACATTAAACACTTTAAAAATGTAATTTTTTTTTGATTCTTTCATTTTTGTAAAAATAAGTAATTTACCATTCAACTCAAAATTATAAAATTAAATCCTAAATGCAAATGCAATCTATTTTTTGTATTTTTCATTTATTTAAACATATAAACATGCACGAACTCATGCAAATAATGACAGAAAATACTATAAAAATCTACAAAATTGCAAACAACGGAAAAAATTATTTTATTTTGAGTTTTTGGGAGCAATTCTCATAGGGCAAAAATCACGTGCTCACACCTTTCAACTAACCTCTCCGCACTCTATTTGAATGTCATGCGGACCATGGCAGTGACAGGCAATCCACGGGCAAACTTCAACAAGCCGTTGAATGACTCCGACACATTTGTAGTCAGGGCTCCCCATCGTCTGCCGCCATCAGCATGCTATGTCCACATGCGAAGCTCATGTCCCATCAGCCAAGTATAGGCTTGTGGATCTAACTGCCGGATCGCTTCCATGCGCTTCATGAATTTGCACTGCTGGTGCTCAGTTGCAGCCATCCACATTAAGTCATGCAAGGCCTTGTCAGGATATTTCTTCTGGAAATTGGCCTTCAGGTGCCTCACACAGTAACGGTGGTATGCATAGGGTTCCTGCCATTCAGGCAAGTGTCGTACAGAACTTAAAATACCACCATATCGATCAGATATTAGACAAATACCTAAACACTGTTTGACAACGTGCTACTTCAAGTGGTTCAAAAAAAGCGTCCACGTCTCTTCGCTTTCGTTGGCACAAATGGAAAAAGCTAGTGGAAATATTTATCCTTGGCATCTACTGCAACTGCAATCAAAAGCTTAATATCATACTTTTCATAGACATGAATACCGTCTATGGAAATTACAGGACGACAATGCACAAAAGCCATCAATTGCTGGTTTAAATGACCAGAACACATAGTTGAAAATATATTCGGGTCTGTCCGGACTCCGCTCATGCCTCCATTCAACAACAATCCCGGGGTTAAAGTGTTGCAGTGCGGCCATGTACCTGGGCAGAGATGAAAAAGACTTATCCCAGTCTCCATAAATAAGTTCAAAGGCACGTTTGCGACCGAGATATGCCTTTCTTTTGGTTATAGTACAACCATACTCCTGGTGGACGGCTGTAATACACTCTTTAATCTTGAACCTAATGGACACTTCCAAATATGGAATCAAGACAAGAGAAATCAAGTCCACATCCAGGTTGAAGTGATTCTCATTGAATGTGTCCATTTCACATCTGTGGGTGCTAATAAATTTACCCACTTTCCACAAACCTGATTTTTTCTAGCTGGCACGCAACATCCAGTGACAACCCATAAAGTCTCTACGGCATACCGCCTTGTATACTTCCGTAGTTGACTCCCTTACCATCATCTCACGGCACTCTCTTACACTGTAGATTTTTACAGCCCTAATTAGGTGAGCTTTATCGGGGAAATACATGCCCTTTGCCAATACCGCTGGTCTAGACAAACCCCACATCGCTGACCGAATTTCGTCATCATCCCTTGTGAGGGCATCCACGTCCGGCATACTTGGCAAATTATCAAGGTAGGGAATATTCCGCTCATGAGATGGAACGTGGGGCTCGTACACTCTTGGTCTAGCGGGAGGTGGAGGAGCATGCTCCCTCGTTAGCTCACGTTCGGCATCCACTTCCTGCTTGTCATCACCCTCATCAGGAAAGGGTGTGTCATCTCCAGACTCATCCGCACTATTGTCATAATCACTATCATCTTCCTGACTCTACGCATCTGCCAAATCACGAGTCAGTACGTCGTCTATGGGCAACTGTGTGAGGTCAGGAACATCAAGATGCTCGTTTTTACTGCACAAAAAGAACAAAATGATAAGCTACCCAACTAGATAAATACTTTACATATAGCTATATCACTTTACTTACAAGTTGTACTGTCTTGACGTTTCATGATGGATATTTCTGGTTGGTGATGACTCTCGGATGGACCACCGTGGTCCAATAGGCCAGAACTACGCATATTCCAACTAAGAGCGGGGTCATAACTAGTAAAATTCATTTCCGGACGGTATCCCCTATGAAAAATATGAGGGTTAATACAAATCCAATTAAAACATAAAATAAACATCGCTAAAGCATAGAAAAATTTAAGTTTACCAGTCGTTTTGTGGATTATATAAAGTCAAAAAATTATTTTGTGGCTGCTCATTCGTCGGTGATGACAAGTTTAAATCAAGGCAAGCTCTTTCATCAGCAATCTGTCCGGCAAAAACTGCTCCAGAATAACCACCAGATGACTGGGGATTATCCCTATTATGCACACCCTCATTATTGGGAACGTCTTCAACTTTGACGTACATTTTCAATAATTTTATTACAATAAATTCTCTGTATTCATCCGGAATCCGCAAAAAATCTCTAAGAGTTTCATCATCTTCGATGTTAAACTCAAAATAATAAGCAAACCCCTGCGGAGTCACTGAATACAGAAATCCACCGGTTACTTTAAGGTTCACTGAACGTTTCCTCACACTCATTTTTTTACGTAACAACGATACCAATTTATCGTACTCCATTGTAAGCGGCAATTTAACATGACACTGTGGAGGTGAGCTATACCTCACAGAGTTATTCTCCAGCACAACCTCACCCCCCAATATAATGAAACCCTTATTTTTGGCTCTTCAGACATTATAAAAAAATGATTGATAAGAAGAAGAGAGAAGTATGAACGGAAGTTTGAAGGAAAGTTTTGAATGGATTTTCATAAAATTCAAACGCCTTTAAATAAGACAAGTCCAAGCTTGGGGTGCAGAATTTTTTTATGTAAAACACAGTACAATACCACGTTTTATGTATTTGAATTATTGTTATGTCAGTTATCCGTTTTTTATGGGCCCACGTTTTATGTTACTTATTGGTGGGTCCAAAAAATAGTGTAAAACGCAGTATAATAATACGTTTCAGTGTAAAACGCAGTTTTATACTACGTTTTACACTAAAAAATAAATTATTCTCTGCAGTCTTGCAGAACTGTTATAAGGTGGGCCCAAATTTTATAGGGAAACGCAATATAATACTGTGCTTTCCTTAAACGCAGTATTGTAATGCGTTTTCCTATAAAAAAATTAATTTTTTAATAAAACGCAGTATAATACTGCGTTTAACTTTAACGGACTGTTAAAGTAAAACGCAATATTATACTGCGTTTTATGTAGAAATGTAACTTTTTCTTTTTAATTGTAGAAAATATTTTGTGCCAAAAAAGACATCATTTCAGTTTTGGAGTCTTATAATTAATACTCCTATTTCAGATCCTTTTAAGTTTCAATGTCACACCTAATCTCTTATTTAAAGAGCAATTAATTGACTAATCAAACAAAGGCGATGGTGATTGTGCCTACTACAGCTAGTTAGTTTCCGTATAATAAATAGGTAGGCAAGATCTGAAATTCTTTCATGCTGGCTTTGCCTGGAGTGCCCTTGAGTTGTTGCTTTCAACCTTCATTCTCTTTTATCTCCAAAAAAAGAACCTCAAAAACTCAATAAAGTCAAGCAAAATTACCCAGAATTCAACTTTTTCTTACCTTGTCAGAACCTAACAAAGCCTGCAAGAAGTTTGAATTTTCTCGTGCTTTTTGCTGTAGAGTTTCATTGGTTAATGATAATTTATTTTACTACTACTATAACAAATTGCGAAATGCAGGCTTTTTCAGGTCAGCATCAGCTTTTATGAACATACTGCTGCCTACACTGAAAATTATCACAGATTATTATCCAGGCCGTCTTCACAAAGCTTTTGTCATTGATCCTCCCTCCCTTTTCTCTTATCTTTGGAAGGTATTTACTACTATTATATTCGTCCCATTTATACTGTCTGCATTTTTAGCTAGCGTTTTGGCCATAGATTCTCAAATTTCTGGTTTGAGTAAAGTTTGATTTGAAGATGAAAATGTGTTTGGACATAGATTTTCAAAATATATTTCATTTTTTTTTTTGAAAAAACAAGAAATATGACTTATACTCACAAGTTCTAAAAACTATCACAAGTACCCAACACTACATTTATCAATAACGTTCATTATATTATCGCAAACTATAGTCCTGAACATAAATAAATTTGGTATAAAATTATTATTTTTATAATGAACTACATAATGCACTATCAGATGACTGAGAAGACGAAGCAACATTGTTGCAAAATAATAAGTGGTGGGTTGTTTTATAAAATACAAAAGTTTGGGGCAATTTCTAAAAAATGTAATAGTGATATTTTGCTGGTTTTGGGATTTGGATTTTGGATTTTGGATTTTGGATTTTGGATTTTGGGAATTTGCTAAAATGTGGATAAAATCTATGGTCAAACATATATTTGCCAAAAAAAACCCAAATATATTTTGACAAAATCTATGGCCAAATGGATCCTAAATTTTTTGCGCTCTTAATTAACATTGATATTTAATCCTTAATTATAAGAGTAATTATCTAAAACCTTTTTATTTATTCTTAGATATTTAACTTAATTAACATTTCTACTAAATGAAACAACAAGGGTTAGGTAAAAAAGTAATAAATGCTTGTTGTTTTGCCGAGGGATTAGTATTTGAGATTGGACAGAGTAATTTATTTCAAGTCAAATTAGTGAAATGCACATCTATAGTAGTGCAAGCAACTTTTACACTAGCAGAGTTTCTTTACTAGTTATAATAAGTAACTTAGTTTTATTTTGAAAATACATTTTAAAGAGGCTTGCATGCAAGTGTCATTTGAATAACGTGATAGTATAAAAAATTCTTTATACTATCCACAGAAAATCTTTACTGTTGTTGTTGGTTTATGATAGGGAGTGAAAACATTTGGTGAGCTAGCACCACTTACAATGGTATTGGATTTCAACTACTTCACTTGGTATGATCCAAAATCAGCATCCCACAGATTCAACTCTCCAAGATCAAGATTGGGTCATGCTCGATTTGCCTTCACTAGCGTTGACACGTCATCTTCCAAATTAGGCCCAACAATCTCACCCACCCCTCAATGCTCGATCCTACTCCTTTGCTCACCTGTTGCTAGGACTCCACGTGGCAACATCGGAGCCGTTAAAAAAGGATTCTTCCCTTCACACCTTTGCCCTAGAAAACGTAACACAAGATTTATTAGATCCAAGGGCTGTGAGACCTTCATTTTTTCAATCACCAGCAATGTTCTTCAACAAGGAGGGACACGTAAGCAAGACAGAAAAGCCTCGAGAGTCATTTGTACCGTTCTTGAAGTTTTATCGTAGACCGTACGATGAGACCTCCATTAGGTCTTCAACGCCATCATATTTCAGTAAGGCTGCTTGGTGGGCCGGGCCTGAATCGGACCGGACCGGGCCCGCGGTCCTAACGGGTCTGGTGGGCCGGTCTTGGTGGGCCTGGGAAGCCCGTGACGGGCGGTCTTCTAGTTTGAGCCCACGAGCCCGGGACCGTCAGGCGGGCCTGGCGGGCCTAACGGACCCAACGGCTATTTTTTTTAAAAAAAAAAAATTAAAATTCTCTAACGGCCATATTTAAAATCTAGTCGTTTGGGCTGAAAATATGACCGTTTTTAAGTTTAAAAAATGGCCATTTGGCCCCCAAACTTTAT